GCTACTAAATCTGTAAACTTTTATTCAAAATATGTTAAGAGTATAAAACATTATCTTGAAGATTTGTTGAACTGATCGAAATAGTCCTCTGTTGCTCTATTTACATATACAATTGTGTTCAAAAATTTCTTGCGCGATTTTTGTTCTTCTGCCAGTCTCAAATTTTCGTCTGCTATTTTCTTGAGTTCTTCTCTAAAATTAATATATCCAAATGCCAAAATGAAAAATATTATTTTAACGTACCTATGCTTTCTCTTTAATTCCAGATCCATTAAATGAATGGTTTGTTGGGTTCCGTTGATGTAGGCCTCAAACTCTCTCTGCATTCTTGCTTCCATTTCTTTCTTTTTCTTAAACATATAAAGGTACATCAACAACATTTTACTCTGGCAACATATTGACTCTTTAAAAAAACTGAGGAAATGGAGAAACAACAAAACAAAACTTCTTACTCTTGCTTCCTCAATTTGGGATATCTGTTCTCTTCTAATCTGCAACTTTTCTTCTTCCGACATTCCTTTGTACAAGTAAGCTATTTTCTTGCCTGGACCCATGTTACTTTGCGATACATCTGGATTTTCTGTCAGCAAGTCACTAGTCAAAGTATTGTAAATTTCCGCAGTGTTATCTTCTTCTGTTTGCTGTTTCTTTGTCATGGTGGTATTACATTTTTGCTCAGCCTAAAAATTAGGATCAATTAATAACAAATTCACAGCTTGTTTGTAATTTGTATTTTTGGTTGCATTTCACTAGTTTATATGAATACGATTTATATATATTGATATAGGTACTACTCATATTGATTGCATAGGAAAGCATTGAAATTGAGTTATAATTTTTATTTAAAAGAATGTACCGAACCTATACCAAAAATATTTTACCTACGACTGTTATATAAGGACTATGATTCGGCACTCTTTCAAATGTCATAATCATGTTTATTACCGCACTAGTGCTTTTTACAATTTGTTACCGTACAAGTGCGGTAATAAATATGTTAATCATTGTCAAAGTTATGTCTTAAAATAGCATATTTTAAAATAAGTTTAAGCGATGATCGGCCATCTGATATTGAGAACCAAGCTTAATGTTGTTTTGAATCTTGTGCCAAAGAAATCACCGAAGAAGTAAATATCAAGATCGGTACCTGAAATATGCAATACACTCACCAAGAAGATACACTCACCATGAAAGATACACTCACCAAGAAGATCGAGCATCAAAGGGATAAAAAAATATAATAATAATCCTTTCCAGCTTATTAAGTTGAGTATTTTTCGTTCACTGCACGATTTCTGGAACCGATCAAAAACTTTTTGGTATTTCTTGCGTGGTTTTCCTGGCGCAAGATTCGAAACAACTGTAAAAGCTTCATTCATTATAACATGTGTAATTTTAGCACACAACTTTGACAATGATTCTGATGACAACAAAAAATGCTCATTATCTGTGTTCTGTATTCAATTTTATAACTAGGTAGTCAGTGCAAATGCTGTGGACGTTGAGAAGCTACAAAGCAAAGCTAGATAAATACGATTTGTGAAATCGCCCGTACTTGACGTAATAACGTTGCTATTTTATTTTCTCGTTTATTCAATAATAACTGTTTTTATGGTGGTATTTTTATAAAAACCACAATTAAAAAACTTTTTCCTTTTGATTAAATGTTTAGACATACATACCAGCGCTAAGTTATATCTTGTTGTTGCTACCTCTAATTTCTTCCTGCATTCTTTTTCAATTTTATCTAATTCTATCGCACGTTGATCCCGAGCGATGACAGCAGCTAAGCAATATAATAAATAAATAAGTCATAAGCGTGTGAAATAATTGCGCCAACTATTAACCGAGCATAGGTACTTGTGCATACCTTTATACGCATCTTCTGCCATTTTCCGTTCTTTTTCGGCCTGTTCTCTTTCTATTAATTGCTGACCAAGCCATGCTTTTATCTGTTCTTTTTGTAGCTTTAGTCTTTCCTCATTTGACAGATCTTCCCCCTCAAACCTATAACGATACCACAAGGGTTAATTTCATAGTCCTACTTAAAACTAATTTGATTTTTGAAATAAATGCGTACATATTACAATAGGTTCATTTCTTACTTTTGCGCTGATGATGGGCCTAACCTAGGGTCGTCATCGTGTAATCGACAGGGCAATTGCTTTTTAATCCCATTAGGGTCATTCAAGTCAAATTCTCTTCTGTCTTCAGGTTTTTGAAAATTTTTGCGAAACGTTTCTATTTCCTTCTGTAATTTCTTTTGCTCCTGGAAGACTTAGTACTAATTAATATATCGATTTGAAAATAATTCTTTAGTACCTCTCGTTGCTTTTGTTCCAAAGTTATAGCTATTTGATCTGCCTTTTTTAACTCATTTTCGAATATACTATCATTGCGTTTGACCTCCAACTCTTTCTTTTTTTTCTCTTCAATTTGTGCTTGCAAAGCCTGTGTGTCAATCTGAAAATCATATTTGCTAACAACAAAATGTTCCACCATGAACGTTGTTAACAAATTTGCAAGAAACTTGCCCCCCGAAAAGCGTTTAAATGTTGAATATAAAGACAGGTTTATTGCAGATGAATTTAAATAACATATTTATATTTTGTATTTTTTAGTGAACCGCAGGAGCTGGGACTGCAGCATTCCCTTGTATGTAAAGTAAAAATATATTTTAAACTTATTTTAAAAATTATACACTGATTTGATTTTATAGATTAATATCTTTTACACTGCTGAACACATTTCTAATACATTTTCTGGCAGGATATCAAATTTTATGAATCAATTGAGTGGTCATTTTTATTTTGTTTCAGATCAATTCGATTTCATTAAACGCGGTTTAGCAACTACCAATCTTAAACCTGGAGGGGGGAGGAAAATATTAACATTATTAACATTTTTAAATAATAAAATAAAATAATTCTTCCATAGAAACCAATGCCAAAAATTAATCATTATTCTAGTCAGACACCAAACATCCAAGGAATATAAAATAAAACCTGCCATTCATATAAAAAACAAAACGTTCATATAAAAATAAAACATGGATATAAAGAAAAAGGTGATTTTCGAGGAATTCCGAACTTTTAGCTTTGTGATTAGCATTAGAAGTGTGAAAGTAAATCAGATCGATGTACTGAGCCTTCAGCTCATCATTAAGTGTAAAGTTATTGTAGTTCGTCCCTTTGCCTCGACACAAAAACGATATTTGTTAATTTCAAATAGTTTTTAATCCTTGATAACCTATAACCCGATAATGTGACTCAAGTTTAAAAATATTGTAACTGTATGATTCTGGAGGGTTTCCAGATTTCCTAAGACAAACAATTAGCAGTAAGTACCCTGTAGTAATTTATATAATATAATAACTCGAATTTAACCAATGCGTTCTCCCGCTTTTAACATACCAACCAACAGACCAAGAACAAAATTCAGAAATTTTAAGTCATGCAACTTAAGATGGGGAGATCAATGCTGGGAATAATCCTCTTAGATGGAATCCCAAATAGAACCAGCAGGCACGCCACAAGAGTAAGAGATGCTGTCGAGGCCATTCTGCGTATGAAGTGGAACTGGGCGGGTCATGTGGGCAGAGTAACCGATGGGCGATGTACATAAAAAAATATAGTGGAGACCAAGAGTGCAAGCAGCCCGATGGAGTGACGACATAAGGAGACTCTTTTGGATTGGATGCTGATAACACAGGACCGGGAAGAATGGCAAAATATGAGAGAGGCTTTTGTCCAGCAGTGGACAGTGTATGCTGATGATGATGAAGATCAATTATGTTTACTTTTTGTTTAATTTTTTTTGGCTTAATAGTCATAAAAGCACTAATAATGAAATTCCATTTCAAACTTACCCCTATTAATCGTTGCCTTGGGTTGAAAAGTCTCTTTTTTCTTTCCTCTTCTTGAATTCTTCGCCTTTCAATGTAGGCTGCCTCACGACGATCTTTTTCAGTCATCAGTTGAAGTTTCAACATTTTACGCAAATATCAGAAAATGTAATAAAGAAAACCGATAATAAGTTGATTTATAAATTAAAAATAAATGGTAAATGTGACTATGACTCTTTACTATGACGGACAACGAAAATTGCTGGTGGAAAGCGCACTATTGAGCCAGAGTTACCATGGCATTCTTCTATTAAATCGATATGATACATGGTTTCAAAGGATGTGTTCTTTGTTCGATTCTGGCTGAGCGAAGCTCGAATTAATGTGATTCAGTTTATGAAGTTACGAAGGACTGGGATAAGCAAAAAATAAACCATATTTTTGAAGCCGATTGTATAATGTTTTATACCCAAAACTTAGTTAGGAATATATTTACAATGAGCAGTAGTTACAACATTATTGCATATTTATTTTATAAAGAGCAAACCTTTCATTATAAATTATATTTACAATAAATCTGACACAAAAGTAACAAGCAGACATTTATTGAGCTTACCGAATATATTAGACGAAATTAAAATAACACAGAATCGGTTAATATTAAGTACTGATAAGTTATAGAGAAAACACGCCCTCTCTAATTCAGATTCCTTTAAAAGCGTAGTGCTTTTCGAAGCAAAAAAAAACAATGCTAAAGATGGGATTGTCAAGTCAATTGCTGTGACCGTTTAAATATATTTTCCGGGGTATATTTTTCCATGAGATCTAACTACTGAAAAATACACAAAAACTGTTTCAAAGTCGTTTAAATAAGCTTGCTTAACTTGCAGCTACCCTAACTTTGCAGATATAAACATAGCTTTCCTACATTTAAGGTGCCGTATTCTTAATGTTTTTCAAAAGTAAACATTTGCTAGATTACTATTAATATTGGAGTAGTATTGTAGACCAAGCTTTTAAAATACACTCTTATTTATCAAGAATTTATAATATTTTAATTCTTGTCATGTCAAACATAAAAATTGTCAAACCCGTTTCTTAAATAAAAAATTATGTTTTATACGTTTATTGCAGTTAAATTATCTTGAAAAAATCTGTTAAATAACAATAACCAAAATCGTTTTGTATATTTTACAATATATTTGTCGTTATATTTGGTAAGCTTTGTTTGTATGAAATTATCAACCTTTAATAAGCTTTGTTTCTGAAAACTACAGTAGGGACTTCTAAATTTCATTAATTTTTTCAAAATATTCTTAAATTCTATACTACTGTTATACATTTAGAAACATCGCTTTAAACTTATTTCAAGTCTTAAATGTTATACAAAAGCAAAATGTGGTTTTTTGTCGAAAACATGTTGGCAATCTACACTTACTACCATGAGAGGAAATACATATTCTTAAATTTTTTTTAAATTTGTAAATAGTCAATGAATATGTGATGATTCATATTCATACATACAGAGTCTCCTAGTTATCATGGTTAGGACTTGGATATGGATAGAAAAACTCATTTTTAGATGTTTGTCATTTAATCAGTT